ACGTATACGTATGCAGCTGAGGTTGTGTGGGTGGACGTATATATGCAGCTGAGGTTGTGTGGGTAGACGTATACGTATACAGCTGAGGTTGTGTGGGTAGACGTATACGTATGCAGCTGAGGCTGTGTGGGTGAACGTATACGTATGCAGCTGAGTATGTGTGGGTGGACGTATACGTATGCAGCTGAGGTTGTGTGGGTGGACGTATACGTATGCAGCTGAGGTTGTGTGGGTGGACGTATACGTATGCAGCTGCAGTTGTGTGGGTGGATGTATACGCATGCAACTGAGGTTGTGGGGGTGGACGTATACGTATGCAGCTGAGTTTGTGTGGGTGGACGTATACGTATGCAGCTGAGGTTGTGTGGGTGGACGCATGCACTGTACGCGTGATGAGCACTTCGTTCTGTAGTAGGCTTACTGATTGGTTAGGAACGTGTGGCATGTGCTTAAAACCAGTGATTCAATGCGTTGATGGTTCGCGGGTCGCAGGGTTGTATGTCTGGCTGAAGTCATCTGTGCAGATGGCCGAGAGACATAGGAACCACACTCTGTAACCCAACATGTGACTGTATTGTGTGTATTTGTATGTGTATGTATGATGCGCATGTGCCTTTATTCTGTGTATCTGTAAACCCCGCAGTTTTGGCTGTGTTTGCATCTGTATGACTGATACTCCCAATGTGCCCGTGCCCTGACACAACCACTTGTCTTCCTTCAGATACAGCGTCACCTGAAGGGCTCGGCCATCGTCCGAGTGTTATGAGTGTCAACACATTCCTCACCTCCTCACTGCCGCCCGCACCCCCACCGCAAACCACACAACCCCACGGCCATACCCAACACCACACGCTAAGCGTAGACGAGCACAACAGCAACAAGGGCGGTAACAATGACACTGACACGACCCAGGACAAGGACAGGGAAAAGGAGAATCCCACACTGCCCCGACAGGAGAGCGTGGTCAGTATAGGGGGCTTCTTGAAGACCACATTGCCCACTACACAACCCAAAGGTAAGCCCACGGTACACGCACAGCAGCACAGGTAGTTGCAGCGGTTGTCATCTCAGTTGTTGCGCAGGTTTCCAGGCCTGCTTCAGGACGGGATTCATTGCTCTATTTAGAGAACAGGTCCACCGGTGCATTATATCCTGGTTTTTAGTCGCCTTGGATATTAGATTACATCTCCTGCTTCAGGGCGGGATTCATTACTCCATTGAGAACAGGTCCACCAGTGCAGTATGTCCTGGTTTTTAGTCGCCTTGGATATTAGCTTATATACATATCCTGTCCTAAGACTTTAAGGTCCACCAGTGCATTATGTCTTGGTTTTTAGTCGCCTTGGATATTAGCTTACATACATATTCTGTCCTAAGACTTTAAGGTCCACCAGTACATTATGTCCTGGTTTTTAGTCGCCTTGGATATCAGCGTACATACATATTCTGTCCTAGGACTTTAAGGCCCTGAGGTTCAAATCACATGAGCGTGAATGTTGAGCTGTCAGTGTACCGAGCGAGAAGGAATGGTCGTGGCAAACCTTCTCCACGTCACCGTCGTCGTGTGCAGCTATCAGTGATGTGTGCCAATGATAAATGTTGATTCGTGGCCATGCGTGTGCCATGCCCATGCACTGCTCACACGATTACCTTGAATGCCCGCGTGGTTTGTCACCAAGTATTTGACATGCAAGGTTTTAGGGTTTTATGTTTGACACGCAAGGTGTCGCCAATGGTTAGCGCAGCTGTTTAATGTCTTGGGTTGTCTGGTTCATTAACTGTTTAATGTCTTGGGTTGTCTGGTTCATTAACTGTTTAATGTCTTGGGTTGTCTGTTTCGTTAACTGTCTAATGTCTTGGGTTGTCTGTTTCATTAACTGATTCATGTCTTGGGTGTTCCATTCTTTCTCACAGGGTACATGCGGGCCTTCAGTGTAGACTCGGGGAGTCTAGTGTCTGGAAGTGAAGTGTCGATGAACGATGCGGCCCACACTGCTCTGAGCGTATGTCCATTATAGTATTTGGTAATAGGTTGATTGATATTCATACACCTGGTGTATATTTATCAATGCAATAGGTGTATGGCTGTTAGTGTACTTTAATGGTTGTCCATTGTAGTATTTATTAATAGGTTGATTGGTATTCATGCACCTTGTGTGTATTTATCAATGCAATAAGTGTATGTCTGTTAGCGTACTTTAATGGTTGTCCGTGGTAGTATTATTAATAGGTTGATTGGTATTCATGCACCTTGTATGTATTTATCAATACAATAGGTGTATGTCTGTTATTGTACTTTAATGGTTGTCCACTGTAGTAATTGGTAATATGTTGATTGCTATTTATGCACCTTGTGTATATTTATCAATGAAATAGGTGTATGTCTGTTAGTGTACTTGAATGGTTGTCCGTGGTAGTATTTGGCAATAGGTTGATTGCTATTCATGCACCTTGTGTGTATTTGTCAATGCAATAAGTGCGTGTCTGTTAATGATTGTCCATTGTAGTATTTGGTAATAGGTTGATTGCTATTCATGCACCATGTGTGTATTTATCAATGCAATATATACGTGTCTATCAATGTACTATATTTGATATTTGTCTGTACGTGTGCGTGTTCACTGTAGCAACTGGTTGATTGATCTCTACGCCCATCTTTAATCAGCGAAACACATCCAAGAACACTATTGGTGATACCAGCCAAATGAGCTTCATGGGGTTTCTGCAAACCTACGCCAGTACCGGAATACCAGAACCATCAGAAGACACGGACACAGACGCAGGTACAGTCACACCGCCTGTTCAACTAGCGTCAGTGTAGTGTTTGCACTGGGAGGGGCTGAGTGTGTGTGGAATGGTTGCTGAGTGCGTGCGTCAGTGTTAATGCGCAGATATGACCACTGCAAATGCTCACAGTTGTCTTGCGCGCGGGAGTGATCATTTGATGTGTTTGAGGGTTTAATATCAGTGTCTACGTATTCTCATGTTCGTGTCTACGTATTCTCATGTTCGTGTCTACGTATTCACATGTTCGTACCTACTAATAATTTTCATGTCAAGTTTTAATTTGTGGAAGCCATGTACCCAATCCGCTCAGCCGCGTCTCTATTCATCTCTGCACATACCTGTACTGCTGCTCTCCACGAACACTCTCCAGACGCCGATCTAAGGTTCAAGAGACGATCAAGTACGGGGAAAATGAAACGCAAATTCACTCTCAGCAGCATATTCCCGGGCCAGAGTGTGGGCGTAAAAGGGGTATGCCAAAGTGGCAATTGTTGTGTTTAGAGTTTGTATGTGGGCAGCAGTTGTATTGTGAACTTTATTCGTGATACGACGGGACAATTGTGAATTGAGGACTCGTGTGTCTCTACAACCAGCTAAAATGTCTCATAGTATATATTATATATATATATATATATATATATTTAGATATTTTAGATAAA